AATTGATTTTCTTATCAGGAGAGAATCTCATCACGAGAATTTCGTTAGGCTAAGCATCCATATCAAAATGTGGGAAAATTTCCCCAGGGTTTTTACTGATAAGATTTTAATGAGGCAAGATTAGTGAGTCAAATACTATCTTAATATAATGGTCATCCAAAGAAAAATGCTGTAAATTTATTAAGGTTGGATGACCACCATTCATTTTCAGCTAACCCCAACTACCCTCATTGACCTTCTGTCCCCTTAACCTCTCTATCGACATCATCACTCTTTGTACACTTTGCCTATAAAAGGCATCCAGATGAATGAAAAAATGTGAACAAAAAGAGAAAAAAAAAAAAAAGAATAATGTAATCTTGAAGATGCACACCGATATACTAAGTTTTTGAATAACTTATTTTATATATAATTTTGTCTATTATTTTTTTTATATTTTATTAATATTTTGTTAATTTCACAATATAATGAAGCTAGAGTCATCAGGTAGCCATTATTCAAGATCTCTTTGCAATTATTAGGGCAAAGATAAAATTCATCTGATAAAAGAAGGTTGAGTTTTTCTTTTCTTTTTCGAAAAGTAAAGTACACAAAGCTGATTTCTACATCTAAGTAACCTGCGAAAGACCTAAGGTTTACTATGCTCATGAAGAAATTGGAACCCACATAACATGAAACCAAAAATGTAAATGCGGAGCATGGTTCCACATTTTTTCTTTGGCTTTCTTCATTGGCTTTTCCTAACAGACCCCATGTTTAATCAAAATTCAGAATTTTGCCCTTCACCAATGCATTACTTGTCAAATGCCCAGTTTCCACCATATTTAATCAAAACTAAAAGGGTTAATCCCAAATTATACCCTGAAAGATCGTTCGAATTTCAATTTACACTTTCAAAGATCAAAAATCTCAATTTACACCCTCAAAGATAGAAATCTGTATCAATGCACACCTAAATCTAACAGTCATCAGTTTGTTGTCAAAAATTAAATGGATAAATTATACTTAGTGCCTTTTATACTTGTCACTTAATCATTTGGATTCCATTATATTTGGAATATTACTCCTACATCTCCTAACGTTTTACACATGTAACACATAATTCTTTATCGTTAATATTTGTTAATATAACCTTTAAAAAATATGATTTTATCCTAATAAAAAATTATAATTTTCATATTATCGTTTATTTTATGGGTCTGTTATACTCTAAAATTTAAAATTAAAATTACTATTTGAATGTCTAATATAATGTCAATATTTATATAACATTATTTATATCCAATGCAATATATCACTTGAACATAATTATTTAGATGCCCCAATTGAGGAAACTTTTGTCATATTTAGATTTTCAAGGGATGTAAGTATAATATTTCAAATATAAGGAGTTTAGATAATTAAGTGACAAATATGAGAGGGTCTAAATATAATTTATTTATTTAATTTTAGACGGCAAACTGATGTTAGTTTCAAATAAGCATTAATACAAATTTATATGTGAGGGTGTAAATTAAAATTTTTGATCTTTGAGAATACTAATTAAAATTCAAACAATTTTGCGAGGTGTAATTTGAGAATAACCCAAACTAAAAGGATCAACGTGACTTTTACCATTTTTACCCTTTTTCTCTTTGGTTTTCTAGGGTAGGAGAAAGGGCAATCAAACATTGAGAACATGTCATTTAAGTAAAAACAAATTAATAGCACTTTTAATCCCTAAAATATGCCCATTTTTTCAATTTGTTCGTTGTATTAATTTTATCAATTTAATCACTAAATTTTTTATTTGTGTCACTTTAATCCCTAATCAAACAATTTGTTAAATTTTTTGATAAAAATGATCACATGTAATTCTTTCACGTGATATTTACCATGTGATATTTCTGTCAAAAATTTAATAATTCATCTGCATAAGGACTCAAATAAAATACTTTAGGGACCAATTGACAAAATTAATATTTAGAGACAAACTGACAAAATTAATGTGCATATTTTAAGGACTAAAATTGCTATTAACCCTTTAAAAAAAAGACTCAAATTGTTATTAACCCTTTAAAAAACAAGATACAGAGAGAAGAATGCTGAGCATCAACCCTAACTTAGCATATCTTCAAGGTATCTCAAAAGTGAATCCAATGGAAGGACCAAAAGGGAATGCTACAAGCCATGAACCAAAACTTTTAATAAGAATGAATATTGATCCAAGTTTGGAAATTTCAATAAGAATGAACTGCTCTTTTTATATTCTGAATTATGGCATTGTACAAGCATAGCATCCTACTACCGAGTTACTGGGTCACCCAACAATTATTGTTGTTAATCATTGCTAAGAAACACCATAGATGGTATAAATTCCTTGTATCGAGCATGAACGAGACATGCATCTTATAGCAAGAATATGGGTTACAAGGTCAAGATACTCGCGAAGAGATGATACAGGTCAGTTTCCAAATGTCAAAAAACGGAAGAGATACGGGGATAGCGTTAATAGTTCATTTCTAATTCATTTAAGAACAGAATAAACGCCAAAATTCTTAAACTAATCAGCTATCACAATGTAGAGGCATCCTATCACCTTATAATTTACATACAAGGCATAGAAAAGAAAACAATATTCTGAATTAGGCATTATAAATCTATTCAGGTCTAATGTGCGGACTTAAGACATCAGTAAAATGCAAGTTCCTCGAGTTTGATCATACAGCAGAGTTAAGATCAGCAAATTGCACTCTTAATTTCATATGTAGACTTCACCTCAATCAGCTTCAAGTTCAGTTCCAAACTTGTCCAATCTTTCAGCATCATCTTCCAAATTCCGGACCAAAGCATGGTTGACAGATCCATCATCCTCACTAGCATGTACTTGCCTACCATCAAACCTAAATTGCACGTAGAATTATCAGAATCATAATTGCATGTAGGTGTTACAACAGTCTACATGGAATAACATCCTCTGTTGAAATCATAGTCCATTGTTGGAAAAAAAATGAAAACGTACACATAATTTATTCAAATGCTAACAAGACAACCCAATAGATGCGACTGCAAAATAAAGGCATTATTCAATAAACCACAAAACTAATGTGATTTCAGGGAATCAAAATAAATCCCTCTATGTCGATGCTTCCCCCCCAAAAAAAAAACCAAAATTTAAATAAAAAATTATGCTTTTTTTCCCACAATCCATGCATAATTATTTTACTTGAGAAATATAATTCCATCTCACATATTTCATCTACATGATTCCTTGAATGATGAATGTTCTTTTCTATGATTATAGATGATGTTAAACTAGAAGTTATCTACAAATGGCCGATGGCAGTTCAAAAATGTAACACCATGTGTGATTAAAAATCTGCCCTTAACTTGAAGGTTAAAAAAACTGAAAGCAATGCTGTCACTCCTATCTTGATGATTGAATACAGATAGTATAACAAAAACCATTAGTAAGGGGCTGATAAACTGCAGTTATTTCTATTTAAAAGACATCCCAACACTTCAAGGCTATGCAATGTTTACTGTTCAACTTATTTTAGTAGTCATTATGTCAGCACTGTTCTAAACAAAAACATCTTATAATTCTAGATGAGGAAAAATGTTACCATCGCCCATTCATCAACTCTATGCACTTTTGAGCATCCTTCCTATCGCTAAATCTGACTAAGACAACACCCTGTGGGTGATTCTCACACACCTGCACGGTGAAAACAAGGAAAAAAAATAGGCAAAGGCATCTATTCGTATAATGCAATGGGCATAAAAGAGCTAACATTGAAGAGAAAGAGAGAGAGAGAGAGAGTATATAAATAATTGATGAACAGCATTTTAGGACCTCTATAATAACCAAAAATAGGGAAAGATGACCTTCCAAAAAAAGTGGGCTAAAATGCAAAAACTAATGTATAAACTAAACAAGCCCAAGGATGGAAGGGACTAGAGAGAAAAAAATAATTTTGGAATGTGCCACTTTTGTGCATAATTTTGCTCAGCCCCATTTTTTTTTTTTACCAAAAGCACTAATATTTTTTTTTTGGATCAGAAAACAAAATATTTTATTGATTTAAATGAGATACATGAGAGAGAAAAGAGGTGGACAAGTCATCAAACCTGAATTAGTCACAAATTACGAACAAACGAAGAGAAAAAAAAATGAAAAAGGTTCTCAGTGTCGCAACATGGTATTGGTCATTATGCTCAAAACACTATACAAAAGGCCCAAAAAATTATGAAAAATTTTGAAAATTGTAAACATCATCATCTATGAATCATATCTAATATCCATATCCCTAAAATACACATTATTTAACAGATTAAACAGTGAAAATAAATTATAAGGTAGCGACCGAAAATAATTAAGAATCAAATATCACTAAGTTGTTAAGCTTTAAATATATGCTAGGGTTTATGGCACTTTTGGTCCTTAAAAGTATGTATTTTTTGTCATTTTGGTCCTTATTGTTCTAATTTTGTCAATTTGATCCCTAAAATATACAATTTGTATTTAAATGGTCCTTCACCCAACAGACTGTTAACTTCCTTAACAGAAATTATCACGTGTCCTTCACGTGACACTGCCTGAAGGGTATTTGGTGGAAACAAACAGTGAGGGGGTCAATCAAAGAGTCAAAGCTTTTCTATTTGATCTCCCAAATCGACGTGAAGGAAGTGAGGATGAATAGGATTTCAGTCGTTGAACTTTGCTCTCCGGATGAAGTAGAACGAATTAAACATTCTCTAGTGATTCCTCTCCCAAAGATCGTTGTTCATCATATCAAAAATTAGGTTAGATCTGTCATACTGTGAGGATGGATGGTAAGTGGTTCAAGTGTTCTTGGTTTGTATCTATTATTTACATTTGTTTAATGCACCTGAAAACAAGGTTTTAAAGTGAACGCTTTTTGTTGGTTGTCATTTTATAATCGATAGCTGGGACCCATATGCATTATGTGTTCCCTTATCTGAGACAAATGTGTCTTTGTTTCATAGCATTACTATAGAATTTCAATTTTAAAATTATGTGGTCCTAAACTTGATATTGTTGTCTATTTTGTGACAGATTCTGATGCTTTCACAATAAAGATGCATCATGGTGGTGAATTCAAGGAAACACCAATTAAGGTATATGAAGGTGATAAGGTTGATAGAGTTAATTTGGATGATATGGCTGAAAATTTAGGTTACACATCATATGTGGTTTTTATTACAAAGTCCTTCAGAAAGATATGGAATTGGGCTTGGTACACATAAAGTTTGATAGTGAAGTTATGGGAATGATTGATTGTCTACTAACGAATAGAGTTGCTGAAATGTATCTAGTCCACCTAGATGGTATACCACCGAGAAGTCAGGTTGTTGATGGTAATCCACGCCAGGGGAAGACAGTATTGACGTTATCATCAGATTCAAGTGATTATGAACATTTAATGGATGAGTATGGCATGTGTGATGACAATGATGAATTGTATGAGAATAACATAGATGTAGAATGGGGTGGGGTTAGAAATAAAACAGAAGGTCAGAAAAGGGTTGAGGTTAGAAACATTACACAACGTCTGGAAAGGGTTGAATGAACTTCTAATGCGACTGATGATGAGCATTATGAGGATATTGACTCAAAAGTATGGATCCTCAGTTGATTTGGAAAGTTTGGACAGTTCATCTGAAGATGATACTGAGAAACTAAAAAAACAAAACTTCAAGCATTTCACGCCTGAAACGGACATGAGGAATCCTGAGTTCAGATTGGGCATGTGTTTTAACTCACTAGTTGAGTTGAAGGTTGCAATTAGAGAGTATGTGGTTAAAAATCAAAGGAATGTTAAGTTGGTTAAGAATGATAGAAAAAGGGTTAGAGTTACTTGTAAGGAAGGTTGTCAGCGATTGTTATATGCTTCACAAATACATGGTAAGGTAAGATTACAAATGAAGACTTTTATCAACAGACCTATCTGTGGTAAGATACGTAGCAATAGGAACATTAACTCTCAGATTACAACTAAAAAGTACATGGAAGAACTCAGAATTAATCCAAACTGGCCAATGGCTGCAATGAGGGAGAGGGTCAGTAAAGAGTTGAAGTTGGGTGTCTTAACTAGTTTACTTTACAGAGCCAAAAAGAAGGCAATGTATATGATTCATGGGAGCGATGTTGAGCAATATGCCAAGTTGTGGGATTACTGCGAAGAAGTTAAAGAGGACCAACCTTCGATCAACTATAGTCATCATGGCACCACCTGATGCTCTGTCAGCCATTACACAGCCACAGACATCATGATCGCAAATAACATCACCCCTGTAATCACCAAAATGACCCAAAAGGCACCTTTCTTTAACTTCAGCCTTTTTCAGTTGATTCTCCTTTTGTTGAATTGACCTCTAACCCAGGGATAACAGACATCGATCTTTCACATATTGGGAGATCTTACCACAGAAAAAACCCATACCCACCAGCATCCTACATAGTAGCACACAACAGCTTGGGTTCGAATCAGTCCACGAAGTTCTCAGTTGAGTTGGTCGACCACAGGAACACACAACTGCCATTTCTTGTGCTGATTATATAGTCTATGTTTTTCTCTTGCTTCTATGCCATTTTTTTTTAGCTCTGTTCCTTCGCTTTATTTTTCTGATCCCTTTTCGATCTCTATCAATTCTCCTCGGCTGAAAAAAACTCTTGTTATAACAAGAATACTCCAAAAGAATTAACATCAAACGGTGAAACACATCTTCAAACCAAATCGCATAGAAGTAAGACTTCCCTTCAATGACATAATATAGGATATCACAATGGAAGGAATCTATATCTCGAATCTTCATAACCTTCACACTTTATTCCAAATAAAAGGACCGTGAGGATGATGAAAAAGTAACAACCCCATCTAAAAAAATTACCCTTGAAACTTACTTTTCATTTGTAGGAACACCCTTTACAATCGGCTTGTCAAAAACAATTGTTGTAGGATGAGTAGAAGTAGAATTTTTGGGCTCATCAACATGGAATAACTTTGGTTTATCGTCATTCAATCGGATTGTAACTTGCAGTGGTGGAACTTGTGATATAACTAGAGGGTTGTGTTCAACCACTTTTTGACTGACAGTTGAAGAGACAAAGTTAAAACCTTTACTTGTTTTGTTTCATAAACTGTAGCGAGCACAAGTTCTCGCAGTGAATCGATGGATGCTTGAATTGTATCTAATATAGCATTCATAGACTTTTGTGATTCAACTTGTACTTGGGATAAAGCCTCCACTTTAGCATTTAATTTGATATTGAAAACCATATTGATTGGAAGAGAATTTTAGAACCTTTTTTTTTTTTTTTTTGAAAATTCTGAGGTCAATCTATAATTTCAAAAAATTCTGAGGCTAAACTATAATTTCAGAAACTTAGGGGCCAAAATGTAATTTCAAAAACTCTAAGGGGTCAGATATATAATTTTAAAAGGCTTGGGGTTGTTTGTGTAATTTCATGGATTGGGTACTGATTTTTGCGTTATGAATTTTGTGTAGTGGGTAGTGGCTATTTTTTTTGTTGGACTTGGTTTTGCTAAGTTTTTGGAAAGGGCTTAAAACTTAAGGATGACAGACGAATCTGAAGAAACACAACCACAATCGAGAATGATCAAAGTTGGGCTCTGATACCAAGCTGATGTAAAACAAGAAGGACTAGAAATCATAGAATAGAAAGAGAAGAAGAAAGAAGAGGGGGTGGAAGGGGTTTACCTCATCCTCGCAAGGAATCGGTGAAGAAAACATAAATTCTCCATGGAGAATCACTTTTTATTATATCACTCTCTCTAATTAAAAATAGTTGGGATTACACCATTATTTATAGGTCAAGTCCCCTACTAAAATAAAATTACTTTCCTACTAAAATACTAAAAGAGTTTCATAAACAAACTCTCAAATCCCTATTCTACTAAAATTCTATAATAATTTTCTAGTTAAACTCTAATTAATACTCCTAGTCAAACAAATATTTCCTAACTAATAAAATAATACTAAAACAAATAATAAAATTCAATTCTTCAATTTAAGCTCATCTAATCTCTTTTCGATCTCTATCATGCATGTTGCGATATAAACATACAGATTCTCTGATTGGGTAGTAGTGTTGGTGATATTGTAGATAAAGAGAGGTAATAGAGATTAGTAAGTAGATCGATATATCTGTCTTATACTTCGCCCAATATTGCTTATATAGTGGGGGTTATAAGTCGATTCATGCATGATCCTCAAACCCCTTGTACGGAAGCTGGCTATTGTATTTTGAGGTATCTCAAATAAGCTCTTAGGAGGGGAATATTGTTACATGACGAAGTAAAAAGCAAGCTCAGTGGATGATAGAAGATCCACTTCGGACTATTGCACCTCTGATCGTAGGAAATATTGTCACATGACGAAGTAAAAAGCAAGCAGTGGAAAACAAGGTCCAGCGCATAGATTGAATATAGAGTAATGACATATGGTGTTTGTGAGCATATGTGGTTCCGAATTTTCCTAGATGAGCTCGGAATTCGTGATGATGCACCAATAAGGTTGTATTGTGATAATAAAGCAGTTATCAACATTGCACACAATCCAGTACAACATTATAGGACTAAACATGTCGAGATTGATCAACACTTCGTCAAAGAGAAGCTGGACAAGGGTCTAATTTGCATGCTTTTTTTGAAATCAGAAAATCAGCTGGCCAATGTTTTCACAAAGAGGCTTAATGGCAAGCTTTTTAATCCTATTTATTTGCAAGTTGAGCATGAGAGATATTTATGCACCAACCAACTTGAGGATGAGTGTTAAGTTGCATTATATTGAGATGTATTTCTAGCTTAAAGCTAATTTTGGTATTTTGTGGATATATATAAATTGGGATGTAGCTAAGTAACCCTAACGCACTACCTTCTTCTAATCTCTTCTCTCCTCTCTTAGTATTCTCTTCCCTAACCCTAATTAGTTTAGAATCTAACTCTAACCAACAAGGACAGTCATGCAGTCATGCAGAGTAAAATGAATCTCTACCAAAAAAAAGAAGTAAGATTGCTTTTCCCTAATGTGTGTCCTCCACCTTCAAGTGTCTACCTTAAAAATCTCCTTACTTTCAACTCCGGTATTTTCCTATTAAGTTTAATAGGTAACAAGCTTTTGCTCATGGATTTTAGAGAGCTTCTAAGCCTTCTATTCATAGGGTTGAGCCATGATATGAAGGATCTCACACAGCACATCAGTCTTCCTATTATCATTGATTGGTTTACAGAAATCATATTGCTCCTGTGAAAACCTACATGCAAGCATGCATCAAAACAAAAGAACTTGAATCTCAGCACAGTGAGACAGAGAGGAGAGTGTTGAGGGGGGCCCAATTAATGTTGAAAACAGTTACATACCTTGACTAAATCCACTGGACCAATCTTCAAACATTCCTCTTTAACTTCTGCCTCTAATTCAGTACACAAATTCTCGTCGGTCTGTGAAATAAGAAGGAATGTTAACTTAAGAGAATCCATGGTCAAAAAAGATTCTGTAAAACAACAATTGGTATAATTGGAGGCCCAGCAGATTATATCCATCATAGATTATGTTGGATTCAATTTTTCCCAGCCTACTATCACTATCATAATTCAATAAAACTTTAAAACCTTCAATAGAAAATCATGTCTGTTCATATGTTCACCAAATCTATTTATTTTGGATATCTTGAACCTTAGCTCTTAGCAGGAATTTTTACGAGTTCATTCAACCACTTACAATTATTAAATCACCTAATATCCAAACCAAACATACCCTTAAAGTATCTGAAAAGAATAAAAGGAAAATGCTTCTACATCTTGAAGAAATCCAAGGATTTATAGTCATGCTCATGAACGTGCAAAATTTTTTTTGCTGACACACTATACCAAAACTTAAATGACGAAACAACTTTACATACCAAGCTAGAGCACAATAAGCCTTTGCATGAATTGTATAGCGTTTTGCATATTCCTCTCTTATTTTCTTGTCTTTATTTGGGTGCAAGCCACATAAAAGGGGGAGGGTTAGGGGCTGGGAAGGAGCTAGTAGCATTACCCTCATTTCTGCGGTGGAGAACATATAACGAAGAACAACAGTAGCTGGTATTGACAACTTTGCATCATCACGGCCACCTAAACCATAAAAGGAAAAGAAATTGTCAAGGATTCGGTTCAGCATTTCCAAACCTATCTGCGTAATGCTGGAAAGTGTAAAAACATAAAAAATATCTCCCGCCCTCTATATCCCTGTAATGCTCTTCTTCTTTGTTTGAGGACTAAAAATGGCAGTAATGGGTATATATTACATAGAAATCCTATACTTATATAATGAAATGAGCAAATTATCATTCAAGAAAAAGGACCAAGATAATGCAACTATCCAGACTACAAAATGCAATTAACAATTTGCTGAACTTGCAAAATCACAACGAAACTAGCTTAGAAAATCAATGCCTAAACTAGTTGAAGTATTTGACCTACTGAAGTTCCTCTCAACACCTCTTTGTAAAAGATAAACCCTCCCCATATTCAATTGCCATAAGTTTGATTCCCATAGCTGAAAA